CCCTATTATCAGTATTTAAACTATTTTTTACCCAGATCTCTGCCTTGAAAAGCACCCAAGGCGGCTTACAACCTGGAAAGACCATGTTTGAATTTGAAAACAATCAGTATACAACAGGGGCTGAACCTCATTAAAAGATAATATTTAAGTCTAAGAACAATGAGTAAAGAGGCGCATCTGGCATCAATCAAGGGCAATGCTAAAGATAAGAACAATAAGCATCTGTACACACACATACATACACACACATAGGGATACATACACAGATATGCACACACGTATACAGTATATAAATATGTGTGTGTATATGTATGTAAGGGACGTGGTGGCGCTGTGGGCTAAACCGCAGAAGCCTGTGCTGCAGGGTCAGAAGACCAGCAGATCGTAAGATCGAATCCACGTGACGGAGTGAGTGCCCGTCGCTTGTCCCAGCTCCCGCCAACCTAGCGGTTTGAAAGCATGCAAATGCGAGTAGATCAATAGGGACCACTTCGGTGGGAAGGTAAACAGCGTTCCGTGTCTAAGTCGCACTGGCCATGTGACCACGGAAAGATTGTCTTCGGACAAACGCTGGCTCTATGGCTTGGAAACGGGGATGAGCGCCGCCCCCTAGAGTCGGACACGACTGGACAAAAATTGCCAGGGGGAACCTTTACCTATATGTATGTGTGTATCTATGTAAATACACACACACACAAGAGATATATGTTATTTGAGATCGCTTGGACCCAATTAGTTTTAGCGCTTTATAGGTCAAAACCAGCACTTGGAATTACTCTCAAAGGGGCCACAAAACTCTTCCGTGGACTACAGAAGAAAACGGCTGCCCTTTACTGGAGAAAGAAAGTCTGGTCTCCTGCCCTGGGAGTAAGAGGGTGGAGAGGAGCCTTGTTGCTATCCGCAAGAGGCCTGCATAGCTGGCCAGGCTGCACAACCTTGCACGCAACGGAGACGTGCCTTGTTGTTTAGTCATTTAGTCGTGTCTGACTCTTCGTGACCCCATGGACCAGAGTGCGCCAGGCCCTCCTATCTTCCACCGCCTCCCAGAGTTGGGTCAAAGTCATGTTGGTCGCTTCGGTGACCCTGTCCATCCATCGCGTCCTCTGTCGTCCCCTTCTCCTCACACTTTCCCAACATCAGGGCCTTTTCTGGGGAGTCTTCTCTTCTCATGAGGTGATCAAAGTCTTGGAGCCTCAACTTCAGGACACGACTCAGTCGGACACGACTTAATGACCAAACAACAACAAACAGCAGCAAGCTCTCCCAAGCTGATGTGAATCCCAACCAGGTTTCAATCATGGTGGAAGAAAGGCCAGCATCCTCCGCTCTCAGGCACCCTGCCCTTGCATCATGGCCATGAGCCCGCAGGCAACTTGTGCAGCCGAGAGGATGAGGGGAGTTGCAGTCCCACAAGATTTGGAAAGTCACGAGCCCAGTCCTGTAGAATTGTGGCTTCAAAGGAGGCGAAATCCTTCTGTTAGGCAAGAGGGAAACGGGAGGGTGATTTTCTTTTTTAAAAAAAGCACAGTGTGTGGATCCCCCCCCAGCTCAGAAAGACATCCTTTCAGTGCCAATTTGAAGACGTGTGAACGCAGAACTGGGAACCAACTTGGACATTTCTTTCAGGTCCAACTGGTCTCTCTCCCTCCTTGGTGGGAATTTCTGCTTTGCTTCCTCCCCCCTCCCCGAACCCTTTGGGCACCTGTTAGCCTGCATTTGTGGACATCTGCCGCAGCTCTACCGCTAAACAGACCACTTAATGGCTATGCCGACTGGGAACAAGGGGGCCTGCCATCTGGGGGGTGCTGTTTTGAGGAAGGCCTCAAAGCCCGGAGGCTGAAGAACTCCCAGAAAGATGGGTCGCCTTCGCCTGTGTTGTACCCGGAGCCGCGTGGTCCGACGACACCTTCTGTGAGACCTTGGCGGTGGCTTGGACTTTTGGGAGTCATAGCACAACCCTTCTGGGTGGCACCCAGCGGAGGACGGTTGCCCTATAGATCTTAACATGTCTGGCCTAGTCTTGTCATGACAAAGACGGGGCTAAAGGAATAGATCCCAAGGGCTGAGCTTCTGAGCTGAGTTCCTGCACACATGCAAGTGGCCTCTCGGGCACAGGGAGATATTTGGGGTTTGGGGAAACTTTCCCAGAGGCGCTCTATGGCAGGGCCTTCCAGTCCAGGCTGTGGGTGGAATCCTTCCTTTCACTTGCAGAGCCACTTCAGATATTTATGGTCTCTTTTCTGATAATTATTTACAGCCAGGTAGCAAGCAACCTCACTCTCTCCTGAGCCGGAGTGGCAAAGAGCTTTCTGGCTCCTTGGAAAGCTTTCGCAAGTTTTATTTCGCATAAAAGTTTTCATAGACTCTGGTCCCCTTTTCAGATGCAGAGATAACCACTTGACTTCTCTTCTTTAATTTCTCCTTTATTTATTTTGCCTGACCCAGCATGACTGAGGTCATTCATCCCCAGATTGCTTCTTTCTCTCTCTCTTCAATCCCCCCTCCCCATTACCCCCCTGCCACACCTAAGTA